CACGTGATACTTTCAAGATCTCACGTGTCACTTTCATGATCACACGTGATACTTTCAAGATCACACGTGATACTTTCAAGATCACACGTGATACTCTCACGATCACACGTGATACTTTCAAGATCACATGTGATACTCTCACGATCACACGTGATACTTTCAAGATCTCACGTGTCACTTTCATGATCACACGTGATACTTTCAAGATCACACGTGTTACTTTCAAGATCACACGTGTTACTTTCATGATCACACGTGATACTCTCACGATCACACGTGATACTCTCACGATCACACGTGATACTCTCACGATCACACGTGATACTCTCACGATCACACGTGATACTTTCAAGATCACACGTGATACTTTCAAGATCACACGTGTTACTTTCAAGATCACACGTGATACTTTCACGATCACACGTGATACTTTCACGATCACACGTGATACTTTCAAGATCACACGTGATACTCTCACGATAACACGTGATACTCTCAAGATCACACGTGTTACTTTCAAGATCACACGTGATACTTTCACGATAACACGTGATACTTTCAAGATCACACGTGTTACTTTCAAGATCACACGTGATACTTTCACGATCACACGTGATACTCTCACGATCACACGTGATACTTTCAAGATCACACGTGTTACTTTCAAGATCTCACGTGTCACTTTCATGATCACACGTGATACTTTCAAGATCACACGTGATACTTTCAAGATCACACGTGATACTCTCACGATCACACGTGATACTTTCAAGATCACACGTGATACTTTCAAGATCACACGTGATACTTTCAAGATCACACGTGTTACTTTCAAGATCACACGTGATACTTTCACGATCACACGTGATACTTTCACGATCACACGTGATACTTTCACGATAACACGTGATACTTTCATGATCACACGTGTTACTTTCAAGATCACACGTGATACTTTCACGATCACACGTGATACTTTCACGATCACACGTGATACTTTCAAGATCACACGTGATACTTTCACGATAACACGTGATACTTTCAAGATCACACGTGTTACTTTCAAGATCACACGTGATACTTTCACGATCACACGTGATACTCTCACGATCACACGTGATACTTTCAAGATCACACGTGTTACTTTCAAGATCACACGTGTTACTTTCACGATAACACGTGATACTCTCACGATCACACGTGATACTCTCACGATCACACGTGATACTTTCAAGATCACACGTGATACTTTCAAGATCACACGTGATACTCTCACGATAACACGTGATACTCTCACGATCACACGTGATACTCTCATGTAGTGTACGATCACACGTGATACTCTCATGTAGAGTACGATCACACGTGATACTCTCATGGAGAGTACGATCACACGTGATACTCTCATGTAGTGTACGATCACACGTGATACTCTCATGTAGAGTACGATCACACGTGATACTCTCATGTAGAGTACGATCACACGTGATACTCTCATGTAGAGTACGATCACACGTGATACTCTCATGGAGAGTACGATCACACGTGATACTCTCATGTAGTGTACGATCACACGTGATACTCTCATGTAGTGTACGATCACACGCGATACTCTCATGTAGTGTACGATCACACGTGATACTCTCATGTAGTGTACGATCACACGTGATACTCTCATGTAGTGTACGATCACACGTGATACTCTCATGTAGAGTACGATCACACGTGATACTCTCATGTAGTGTACGATCACACGCGATACTCTCATGTAGTGTACGATCACACACGATACTCTCATGTAGTGTACGATCACACGCAATACTCTCATGTAGAGTACGATCACACGCGATACTCTCATGTAGAGTACGATCACACGCGATACTCTCATGTAGTGTACGATCACACGCGATACTCTCATGTAGAGTACGATCACACGCGATACTCTCATGTAGAGTACGATCACACGCGATACTCTCATGTAGTGTACGATCAGACGTGATATGGAATGAAATCAAAAGGAGCTACCTGGCGTCCCCCGGCAGGTCGAATATGGTCCGGTCCAGACAGAAGACTGATGGAGTCTGAGCGGGATGGTACGGTCCAACAGGGGGGGAGCTGGGCTGAGAGTGAGACAGCCTGAGGACAGACTGACAGAGAGACAGACAGACAGGTGAGAGACAGACAGGTGAGAGACAGACAGGTCAAAGACAGAGCTTGAGGATCTCTCTAGCCGTACCCTGCCTGCAGAGTCCACGTCCAATCGCAATGGAGGAGGGGCGTTCCGTGGGCGGGGTGAAGGAGGGGGAGGGGCGGAGTTTAAACTCTGAGCTACCATTGGCTCCTGGTGTGTCGGTGAGGGTGGCCTGCTGCGAGGTACAAGCCCCGCCCCCTCGTGGCCTCTGATTGGCCGAGCCAGCAGGTGAGCGGTGTCCTGGGAGTAGACTGCGCCTCTGTCCACATCTCGGCCAATCATCTCCAGGGACTCCAGGGAGTGGGCGTGTCTCATGGTGTCCATGACGCACCTAATTCCCGCCCCTTCCTGCCGCTCCTGGATGTCGGTGCAGGTCCATCGCCCGCGGCGATATGGCTGGCCCCGCCCCCCTGTCCCCCCTAGGACCAACCGCACCACCCGGAACCTGGAGGCCCCGCCCCCCTGCCCCGCGGCATCATGGGACACGTGTTTCCTCTTCAGGGAGGGCGTGGTTGGCTGTGAGGAGCTTCTCTGAGCAGATTGGACCACAGTCAGCACCACGCTGGGAGCTGATTGGCCGGCTGGAGTCTGGTTAAAGTCCGAAGTCACACTGGTGATCTGGAAGCCACTCCTCTTTTTCCCGCCACTCATCCTCACACACACACACACAGACTCTGAAACACAGAGAAAATATAAAACTGTTATTGTCCCTGATGAGGACCAGAGACTGAGTGTGAGGTGTGTGTGTGTGTGTGTGTGTGTGTGTGTGTGTGTGTGTGTGTGTGTGTGTGTGTGTGTACAGCTGCAGGTAGTTGAAGGTAACCTGTCTCACCTCTCTTCCTGTCTCTCTCTCTCTCGTCAGGGTCAGTGTCTCTCGCCCCCAAAGCTATGCTCTCAGTTTCTCTGTTTCCTGTTTCCTCACACTGTTAAGCAACCTGTGCGTGTGTACGTGCGTGCGTGCACGTGCGTGCGTGTGTGTGTGTGTGGTTCAGGTTCTTCAGGCTCTGTTGAAACACTGCGTGTCGTCAAAGATTATTGTTATTAACCCCTAAACTGCAGGTTATTTATAAACTCTGAATTGATAAACTCTAACTTTACACACTCTAACTTTACACACTCTTATAAGACTTTTTAAAACTTTATGAACAACAGCTCGTGAATCATGCCCTCTGACGTCACCGTTGTAAACAAACACTCACGTTCACGCGCCCAGCTGATGCGCCCTTCCGGGTGTGACGTCACAATAAGTCCATTGTTTAGAAAACAGCCGCGGACTGCCCATGCGCGCTCGGAAGTTCAGCGAAGTCCTTCAACTCCTTCTTCTGCAGATTTATTTCTGTTTAAAGTCCTCTAAAGATCCGTTAAGAGAAGCTTCTTCTTCTACAGAAACACTCCTCTTCTCTCCATCCTCCGCACGCTGCTGCGCGCGGCCGAGAGCGGGTTGCCGACAGGGAGGCGCCTGCGCAGTGGGAGAGAAGGTGGGGGGGCGGGGGCCGTTTACTTTAGCTCAGAGATCAGAAAACATACAGCGGGAGGTTCAAGGTTTTTATTTGTCATACGAACATAGAGAGGACTCTTTAAAGTAGAGAGGACTCTTTAAAGTAGAGACACTACATACTGATATACACCTGAACATCAGCAGGAGAGGACTCTTTAAAGTAGATACACTACATACTGATATACACCTGAACATCAGCAGGAGAGGACTCTTTAAAGTAGAGACACTACATACTGATATATACCTGAACATCAGCAGGAGAGGACTCTTTAAAGTAGAGACACTACATACTGATATACAGGAGAGGACTCTTTAAAAGTAGAGACAACTACATACTGATATACACCTGAACATCAGCAGGAGAGGACTCTTTAAAGTAGAGACACTACATACTGATATACACCTGAACATCAGCAGGAGAGGACTCTTAAAGTAAGACACTACATACTGATATACACCTGAACATCACAGGAGAGGACTCTTTAAAGTAGAGACACTACATACTGATATACACCTGAACATCAGCAGGAGAGGACTCTTTAAAGTAGAGACAACTACATACTGATATACACCTGAACATCAGCAGGAGAGGACTCTTTAAAGTAGAGACAATACATACTGATATACACCTGAACATCAGCAGGAGAGGACTCTTTAAAGTAGAGACACTACATACTGATATACACCTGAACATCGCAGGAGAGGACTCTTTAAGTAGAGACACTACATACTGATATATACCTGAACATCAGCAGAGAGGACTCTTTAAAGTAGAGACACTACATACTGATATACACCTGAACATCAGCAGGAGAGGACTCTTTAAAGTAGAGACACTACATACTGATATACACCTGAACATCAGCAGGAGAGGACTCTTTAAAGTAGAGACACTACATACTGATATACACCTGAACATCAGCAGGAGAGGACTCTTTAAAGTAGAGACCCTACATACTGATATACACCTGAACATCAGCAGGAGAGGACTCTTTAAAGTAGAGACACTACATACTGATATACACCTGAACATCAGCAGGAGAGGACTCTTTAAAGTAGAGACACTACATACTGATATACACCTGAACATCAGCAGGAGAGGACTCTTTAAAGTAGAGACACTACATACTGATATACACCTGAACATCAGCAGGAGAGGACTCTTTAAAGTAGAGACACTACATACTGATATACACCTGAACATCAGCAGGAGAGGACTCTTTAAAGTATGAGACCACTACATACTGATATACACCTGAACATCAGCAGGAGAGGACTCTTTAAAGTAGAGACACTACCTACTGATATACACCTGAACATCAGCAGGAGAGGACTCTTTAAAGTAGAGACACTACATACTGATATACACCTGAACATCATCAGGAGAGGACTCTTTAAAGTAGAGACACTACATACTGATATACACCTGAACATCAGCAGGAGAGGACTCTTTAAAGTAGAGACACTACATACTGATATACAGGAGAGGACTCTTTAAAGTAGAGACACTACATACTGATATACACCTGAACATCAGCAGGAGAGGACTCTTTAAAGTAGAGACACTACATACTGATATACACCTGAACATCATCAGGAGAGGACTCTTTAAAGTAGAGACACTACATACTGATATACACCTGAACATCAGCTGGAGAGGACTCTTTAAAGTAGAGACACTACATACTGATATACAGGAGAGGACTCTTTAAAGTAGAGACACTACATACTGATATACACCTGAACATCAGCAGGAGAGGACTCTTTAAAGTAGAGACACTACATACTGATATACAGGAGAGGACTCTTTAAAGTAGAGACACTACATACTGATATACACCTGAACATCAGCAGGAGAGGACTCTTTAAAGAGAACTCTACATGACTGAAATACAGGAGAGGACTATTTAAAGTAGAGACACTACATACTGATATACCACCTGAACATCAGCAGGAGAGGACTCTTTAAAGTAGAGACACTACATACTGATATACACCTGAACATCAGCAGGAGAGGACTCTTTAAAGTAGAGACACTACATACTGATATACACCTGAACCTCAGCAGGAGAGGACTCTTAAAGTAGAGACACTACATACTGATATACACCTGAACATCAGCAGGAGAGGACTCTTAAAGTAGATACACTACATACTGATATACACCTGAACATCAGCAGGAGAGGACCTTTTTAAAGTAGAGGACACTACATACTGATATACACCTGAACATCAGCAGGAGAGGACTCTTTAAAGGAGAGCCCACTACATACTGATATACACCTGACATCAGCAGGAGAGGACTCTTTAAAGTAGAGACACTACATACTGATATACACCTGAACATCAGCAGGAGAGGACTCTTAAAGTAGAGACACTACATACTGATATACACCTGAACATCAGCAGGAGAGGACTCTTTAAAGTAGAGACACTACATACTGATATACACCTGAACATCAGCAGGAGAGGACTCTTTTAAAGTAGAGACACTACATACTGATATACACCTGAACATCAGCAGGAGAGGACTCTTTAAAGTAGAGACACTACATACTGATATACACCTGAACATCAGCAGGAGAGGACTCTTTAAAGTAGAACACTACATACTGATATACACCTGAACATCAGCAGGAGAGGACTCTTTAAAGGAGAGCCACTACATACTGATATACACCTGAACATCAGCAGGAGAGGACTCTTTAAAGTAGAGACACTACATACTGATATACACCTGAACATCAGCAGGAGAGGACTCTTTAAAGTAGAGACACTACATACTGATATACACCTGAACATCAGCAGGAGAGGACTCTTTAAAGTAGAGACACTACATACTGATATACACCTGAACATCAGCAGGAGAGGACTCTTTAAAGTAGAGACACTACATGAGAGACACTACATACTGATATACACCTGAACATCAGCAGGAGAGGACTCTTTAAAGTAGAGACACTACATACTGATATACACCTGAACATCAGGCAGGAGAGGACTCTTTAAAGTAGAGACACTACATACTGATATACACCTGAACATCAGCAGGAGAGGACTCTTTAAAGTAGAGACACTACATACTGATATACACCTGAACATCAGCAGGAGAGGACTCTTTAAAGTAGAGACACTACATACTGATATACACCTGAACATCAGCAGGAGAGGACTCTTTAAAGTAGAGACACTACATACTGATATACACCTGAACATCAGCAGGAGAGGACTCTTTAAAGTAGAGACACTACATACTGATATACACCCTGAACATCAGTAGGAGAGGAAGTCTTTAAAGTAGAGACACTACATACTGATATACACCTGAACATCAGCAGGAGAGGACTCTTTAAAGTAGAGACACTACATACTGATATACACCTGAACATCAGCAGGAGAGGACTCTTTAAAGTAGAGACACTACATACTGATATACACCTGAACATCAGCAGGAGAGGACTCTTTAAAGTAGAACACTACATACTGATATACACCTGAACATCAGCAGGAGAGGACTCTTTAAAGTAGAGACACTACATACTGATATACACCTGAACATCAGCAGGAGAGGACTCTTTAAAGTAGAGACACTACATACTGATATACACCTGAACATCAGCAGGAGAGGACTCTTTAAAGTAGAGACACTACATACTGATATACACCTGAACATCAGCAGGAGAGGACTCTTTAAAGTAGAGACACTACATACTGATATACACCTGAACATCAGCAGGAGAGGACTCTTTAAAGTAGAGACACTACATACTGATATACACCTGAACATCAGCAGGAGAGGACTCTTTAAAGTAGAGACACTACATACTGATATACACCTGAACATCAGCAGGAGAGGACTCTTTAAAGTAGAGACACTACATACTGATATACACCCTGAACATCAGCAGGAGAGGACTCTTTAAAGTAGAGACACTACATACTGATATACACCTGAACATCAGCAGGAGAGGACTCTTTAAAGTAGAGACACTACATACTGATATACACCTGAACATCAGCAGGAGAGGACTTTTTAAAGTAGAGACACTACATACTGATATACACCTGAACATCAGCAGGAGAGGACTCTTTAAAGTAGAGACACTACATACTGATATACACCTGAACATCAGCAGGAGAGGACTCTTTAAAGGAGAGCCACTACATACTGATATACACCTGAACATCAGCAGGAGAGGACTCTTTAAAGTAGAGACACTACATACTGATATACACCTGAACATCAGCAGGAGAGGACTCTTTAAAGTAGAGACACTACATACTGATATACACCTGCACATCAGCAGGAGAGGACTCTTTAAAGTAGAGACACTACATACTGATATACACCTGAACATCAGCAGGAGAGGACTCTTTAAAGTAGAGACACTACATACTGATATACACCTGAACATCAGCAGGAGAGGACTCTTTAAAGTAGAGACACTACATACTGATATACACCTGAACATCAGCAGGAGAGGACTCTTTAAAGTAGAGAAACTACATACTGATATACACCTGAACATCAGCAGGAGAGGACTCTTTAAAGTAGAGACACTACATACTGATATACACCTGAACATCAGCAGGAGAGGACTCTTTAAAGTAGAGACACTACATACTGATATACACCTGAACATCAGCAGGAGAGGACTCTTTAAAGTAGAGACACTACATACTGATATACACCTGAACATCAGCAGGAGAGGACTCTTTAAAGTAGAGACACTACATACTGATATACACCTGAACATCAGCAGGAGAGGACTCTTTAAAGTAGAGACACTACATACTGATATACACCTGAACATCAGCAGGAGAGGACTCTTTAAAGTAGAGACACTACATACTGATATACACCTGAACATCAGCAGGAGAGGACTCTTTAAAGTAGAGACACTACATACTGATATACACCTGAACATCAGCAGG